GCAGTGATCTATGGCTCTGTGTATTAAATGCCGCTCCATCTGAAAGCACGTGATGGAGGTTTACTATTAATCACAGAACCGGCTTTACTGACGAGATGCGCATGACAATCACATGCGATTTATCGTGCAGCCCTTAGTTTGTTTGTTGATCACAAAGTACAAAGTAGATGAGAAAAACTAGGATGCCGGGTGTATTCAAAGCGCCGCCATTACCATCTACAATGCGTGGAATGGTGTGCTATGATTGGTTGGGCGGATATATCGCATTCTACAGAGAAGGGAGACTGGCGTTTGTCGTGGTTTGGAAAAAAAGGGAGAAAACATGACAGAATAACTGCGTAAAATTAAAAATGGACTTTTCAATACCAACCAGATACAATACTGATTTTGGCGGAAACTCATTTTATTTTTTTTTAAATGGTGTTTATCGCGTTTTGGAACCAAACTCTTATATATATATATATACATACATACCTCATCCGTCCCTCCCGAACTTATAACAAAAGTGTCCCTCGTGGGTCAAAATGACCCGAAGGCTAAAAATTACACTAATTTTTTTTTTTTGGTCCAGAAATCTTATATTGATCCATTTTTTTAGTTGTTTTTTTTTTCTAAATATTTATGTAGGTTTTTATATTATTTTCTGGTGATTTTTATTATGTTTACCTTTTATTCTGGATATATTTTTAAGAAAATATAAGCAAATAAGCAGTTTCTGTACATTTTTTTACCAAAAAAATAAAATAAATAAATAAATAAACACAATTTCAGTCCTGTTTCATCAAAAACAAACAGATGGCTTTGGAATTGAGTCACTGAGTGTCTCTGATGCCATCTGGTGGGGAAAAATGACATAAAATTGCATTTTATGGTTACAGCCACTAGAGGGGCCTATAGGATACTATGGAGATTTTTAACTGAGCAAAACAAAAAAATTGTAACTGCATTATAACCTAAACATATGTATATTCATACAATTTCATAAATAATAAATAAATATAATATATTTTTAAAAATATAAATATGATATAAACTCATTGGTCTCCACCACATCACTCAAATGTAACTATGTTAAGTAAAAAAATGGAAAAATGACAGTCATATCCCAGCAGAAACATGAAACATAATATAATGTGTTCTATGGGAGTGTATGTACCATGTGTGTGTTTGTGCATGTGTGTGTGTGTGTGTGTGCGTATTTTAGTTTTTTCTGCATTGGGGATATTATATTCTATAAATCGTTACTGGATTGTCTCAGATTTTGTATATCAAAAAAAAATAAAAAATAAAATGTAATAAAAAAACGCAGTTTTCTTCTGCATTGGGGATATTCTGTAGTCTCAGCCCTTCGTTTGGGTATAAATCTTTACTGGCTTGTCTCAGATTTTGTATATCAAAAAAAAATAAAAAATAAAATGTAATAAAAAAACGCAGTTTTCTCATAAATTCTATTAATTCCTATGTGGGTCAAAATGACCCGCGAGGGACACTTTTGTTACTTTTTTTATGGCACCCATTTAAACTCCTCGAATCCACTCAATTTTTTTTTGTGTGTATTCCCGGTGCAAGTGTGACAAAAGTAAATCAAAAAGTAGCTTCAGCAAGAAATATTTTGTTTGACAAAATTTATTACATATACTCTTTTGGACCATGAGGGTGAGTAAATGATGACACAATTGTCATTTTTGGGTGGGTGAACTTTGCCTTTTAATAATTTATTTTATAAATTTTATTATTAATATTGAAATATGAAATTATTTCTTTAATGAAATGATGCTGTAAATAATAAACTAAAACTGCCAGTATGTGGTGGTAAATGTATTAATGATTAAGTCATCGAGTCATTTATTCATTCATTTGATCCGTTCAAATGGCTGATTCATTCAGGAAGTAAATGGTTCTTTATGAATGGTCCATTGAATCATTGGGCATGTTCGACTTGAAGTGGATCATCACCATCAGACCGATCGGTGTGTGACATCAAAGTACCGCAAGAGCAATAGAGAGCAGACGGCTCCTTATGCTTTTGAATCGCTCTCGCGGTACTTTGATGTCGTACACCGATCGATCTGTGCAGCGCCGCTTCAAATCCAACGCGCCTATGGCCAATGGTTCAACTCGCCAAATGGTTCACCCAATTAATTCAAAACATGCATTAAGAAATGAAATGCTGTGTGTTAATCTATAGGCTCCATCACACAGTGAGTTGTTGCCCTGCCTCATATTTGTCATTAACCAACTGTATGAAATGTCATATGACTCACATAGGTCTGGGGCGGGGAAAGTGTGTTAAATGCGTTAATAATTTTAATGCATTATTTTTCACTGTAATTAATTAATCGAATTAATGCGTTAAATTACCAGCCCTAAATATATATAATTAACCAAATTGTCAGTCATGGAATCCCTGGCAATGGCCAATCAGAAACATTTTGTCAGAATTCACTCATCGCTGAAAGTGCCGCAGTTTTTAAGTGCAGTTTTGCACGCTCGTGAATAGACGACGTTTTAGAGGTTGGAGGAAAGGGGAAAAACAAACTCGTGTAGAAGTCGCGAGGGAATTAACGGGTCATTTCAATCGCTGGTGTGTTTCTGCAGGAGCGGACACTTTTGAGAGTTTGTGCGATCTAATGGCATTAGAACAATTTAAGAACATAGTCCCTGATTAAGTAGCCACTTACATAAATGAGCATAAAGTGAAGTCTGCAGCTGTTCTTGCGGATGAGTTCGTTTTAACTCATAGAGGCCATAATGATGGTTATCTCAGAGAGTTTCGAAATGTTAATGGAATCTGATCTGTTAATCTGGAAGGTGATCAGAATCGAAAAGTAGACCCGAGTTCCATGTGTAATTATTGCCTTGAAAATGGACATTGGAAGAGGGAGTGTCCGGTACTACGAGGCAAGAATAATAAATCTATTCCCAAGCCTGTAGCTTTAGCCTCTGGAAAGTTTTGTCATTATTCTGATACATCTACCGACACTATTAGTAAATCTGCGACACTGGTGAAAAATTAACCAGGTGAAACTCAGACTTGTGTTGAGGTAACGACGTCTGACTATGGTCCTTTCATCACAAGCGGTTTCGTTTCCTTGGTGAATGATTCTATTAAAGTGCCTGTTAAGATATTGAGGGACACAGGTTCATTGGAATTGTTTATATTAGAGTCTACATTACCCTTTTCTTCTGAATCAGGCGTGGGTAGTAATGTCTTGATTCGAGGAATTGGGTTACAGACTTTCTCTGTGCCCTTGCACAAACTCCAGCTGTATTCAGATCTTGTGCAAGGTAAGGTTGTGATGGCCTTGCGTCCTTGTTTGCCGGTGGAAGGAGTGGATGTCATCTTGGGTAATAATTTGGCTGGGGGACAAGTTTGGCATGATGTTCCACCACCTCCTGTGGTCAGGGTGACCCCCTCATTTGCCATAAAGGATGGGTGAACCTTTGTTTCAAATTGTAATACCTGTCGTTTTGCGTGATGTAGTACTACAAACTGCTCATGGTGATATTTCAGGACATTTTGGAGTCCGAAAGACGTATGACAGAGTGTTGCGTCACTGGTTTTGGCAGCGTCTTAAGAAAGATATATCCAAGTTTATTCTGACCTGTCATATCTGTCAAGTAACAGGCAAACCTAATCGGGTTATTCCGCCTGCTCCTTTATATCCCATTCCTGCAGTCCATTAATACAAAGTCTATGGTGAAGGCTTTGACGCAGTTTATCTCGATCTTTGGTATCCTGAAAATTCAGACTGATAGGGGGACTAATTTTTCATTCCGTATGTTTGCGGAAGTTTTGCAACAGTTGCGCGTTGAACCGTACCGAAGCAGTGTGTATCATCCACAGAGTCAGGGAGCCTTGGAACGGTTCTACCAGACCCTAAAACAGTTGTTGCGCGCTTATTGCATCGAACTTCACAAGGACTGGGAAGAAGGTCTCCCTTGGCTCATGTTGGCCGCTAGAGGTAACCCAAGAGAGTTTGGGCTTTAGTCCTAATGATTTAGTTTTTGGACACGGTGAGGGGACCTTTAGCAACACTTTTTGATGAACCAGTGAAACCCGCATCACCTACGAATTTGCTGGACTACGTTAATGGATTTCGTCGTCGACTTCTGCTGTAAACTAGCCGGTGAAAATTTGTCTAAAGCTCAGAGTAAAATGAAGGTCCAGTTTGATAGCAGGGCGGTGAGTAGGGAATTCAGTCCTGGAGATCAGGTGTTGGCTTTACTTTCTATTCCGGCTTCGCCTTTTTTAGCTATCATAATCCCCTCACATTTTTGCGTTCCTTACGTTCTCCGAATCAGCGTCTTATT